GTATTTCTTAGCTCTGGGTTTGAGACGTCACTGTTTTTACAGATTTCTAAAGTTTAGCTCTGCCTTTAAGCCGTGTCTTACTTTAGTGTCACAAATGCCCAGAACCTCATTGTTCACCGTATCCCCGGTGTGAGGATGCTTACGCCGTAGGAGGCGGCGTGCGGTGCTCTGTATGGGAGGCTCGGGGGCTCTGCCTTCGCCGCTGGTGCCAGCACCCTTCCTGCCGGATTATCACTGTCTGTTCACACTTCCTTCTACCTCAGGCGACTGAGCGGGAGCCACGGTGGCGCTGACACTTCCTGCCCTGAGTGGGAGCTGGGGCGCGTCTTGGTTGTCTTTGTCTTTGTTTCTGTCCGTTTCTCAATTTGAAATTGAACTGGGATGTTTGTATTTGGAAAAGCTGAATTGGCCAGTGAGCATCCTGAAAATGACTTATCCATGATGACATGAGTGAGCACAAACAGAATTGCTCATGTCTGATAGGTCAGCAGCTTCCTCTGGTCCCACAAAGTCCCATCCTACACAGTATACCTTTGACATCCTTAAAATTGTAACCTTGGGGAAGAATACCAGGAGCCCTGGTAAATAGTGGTTCCTGGGGAAAGCGGCTCGCTGGCACCCCCGTGTGGCCGACACCTGCAGGAGGGTTCTCCCTCAGCCTCCAGGCTCAGAAGCAGCTCTGTGGGTCCTGCCTCTGGGATTTTGGCCGAACCCTTTAGGGCCTGAGCAAAGCTAAGGCAGCAGTGGGGTGGGGTTCAGTGGGTTTATTTATGGCGCTGGACTTTAAAAAATGGTCACGATGCATTTTAAATTAGAAACAAATCTTACCTGTGTTTGCATCCTGAGTGTCCACATTGTGGCTGTAAAAGCCAAGGACCGTTCTCTGTGAGTGTCTGTGTGGTGGGGTTTGAGGTCTGGCTTATCTCCCGCAGGCATCAGCAGGACTCGGACCTCTCGGCAGCATGCTCCGATGCTGACCTCCACAGACACAGGAAAAAGAAGAAGAAAAAGAAGAGACACTCAAGGAAATCAGAGGACTGTGGGCGGGACTCAGGACTGCACTTAGCGAAGGCCGCCAGCTCTGAGGCTCTTGACCGTTTCCGGAGAGCCGACGGCAGCCCCCGCCTCACCGACGGCCTGCCTCTGGAAGGCGTTGGACCTTTCCGTGAGAAAACAAAAGGCTTAAGGATGGAGAGCAGGGATGACAGGTGTCATCTGTCTGAGTGTGGCCAGGGTAAGACGAGATACTTGGACTTAATGTAGAAACCGGTCCTTTGAGAAAACGGGATTGGCACCTGGGAGGAAAAGCCAGAAGCCCCTCTCACCCGCTCCTCCACCCCCACCCCCCACCCCCGAGAATGCGGCCTGGAGCATGGCCCCTTAGCATTTGGGGAGCCCCAGCTCCATGGACCAGGCCTAGCAGAACCTGACACACACCTGGGACTTAGGGCTCCAGGCACCGAGCATTTTCCTCGGGAAGGGCTGGGACTTTGCTTTCAGACCATCTTTATCTCCTTCCTCCGGACTCAGACCTCTGCGTTCTGAGGGTAACAGAGGAGGGTGATGACGTGTCTCATAGGGATGTCAGCTGTCAGCCTGTCGTGCGGGCTCTGGCTCCTGGGAGGGCATCCCTGGGTGTCCGGTCTTGTCAGCTCTGCCCAGCTCTGCCCTGTGATTGTGAGGTCCTTTCTATCATCCCCTCCCTCTCCCCCTCCCAATCTGTGCGGTGACCTTCGCCCTTGGCGAGCAGCACGGTGTCTACAGATCACGATGTGGCCAGCGCCCCGGGGCAGCGCCAGCAGTTAGCATGGCTTCAGCCTCTCGGGGTTGGAGAGTCCAAAGGAGACGTCATTTCCTGTGGGAAGGGTCTGAGGGGATGTCGGGGTCGGGTTGCAGTGGGCACAGCCGGTTTATGGCCTTCGGTGGACAAAGTGTGCGGACCCGCCCTAGACCAAGGGTATTCTGTGCCTTTGTCACCTGGCTGCCCAGAAGCCTGTGGTTCTTGAGTGTCCTGACCTTGCCCAAGGTGTCCTGGGGCTGTCAGCCTGTGACTGCTGACTGGGAGGGCACCTGGGCCCAGCGTTGGCTGCTCCATCGGGAGGGGGTGGGGGAGTGCGGTGGGAGCTAGCAGCCCGCAGCAGCAAGAAGTGGCGCTGACGTGGGTTTACTGTTTTAAGGAATGAGTGCGTGTGTTCTTAGATTGGTTTCCCACGAACTGTCAGTATCTCTGCGCGATGAGGGGCTGTGTGCACAGGTCCAGGCAGCTCTGTTTCCGAGGCCGAGCCCACCTCACGGTGGCAGCCCTGCTCTGTCTCCAGGGCTGCAGTCAGGTCCTGCTCCCCCCCAGCACCTCCACTCTGAGCAGCCGGGCACCTGCCTGCCTGGCCCCTCCGTTAGGCCAGTCCCCTGGCCTCTGAGACAAGCATCCCTGTCAGTTATTGAGACACGTGTCCTCCGACCTGGAGTCCTTCACACTCGCTCTCTGGTTCATTAACCTGCCGTCTCTGGTCTAAGGCCTGCTCCTCCTCACGGGCACCCTGATGGGCCATGTCCACAGGGGATGCATGGCTTTCCCAGCTTCTCCCCGTGACCGATGTCTCCCCTCAGCCCCGGAAGAAGGGCCCCCGCACACACCTGTGCTTCCTGGCAGGAACGCGAGCCTGCCCGCCCTGGTTCTGAGCGGCCCCTGGCTGTGCCGGCACAGGACCAGACGGGCACCTGTGAGGCCATTAAACTGTCTCTTCACCTTTGCTTGCGTTCCAGGTGACTGAAAGCTTGGCCTCAAACAGAATTCACTAGTTACGGTAAGCTGTTTTGTGTCTGTCTCCCCATGACTGGCAGAGGCTGTGGGACATGGAGTTGGGGACACGGGGTGTGGGGGACAGGTGCGGGAGGCTCCCCAGCAAGGGCAGCTGACTGTCCCTGTCCTCCAGGCCGGCGCTGTGCTCAACACCCCGCCTTGTCAGCATCCTGGCCCAGGGACACTCCACCCCCTTCCTCGCCTCCTTGTAGAAAATGAGGGTATTGAAAGCATCAGAACAAGAGGGACTCACTCGGAGATGGAAAATCCAGTCTCCCCCACTCAGACAGTCTGGATGCCCGAGGGGTCCCTGGAACCTCCACCCCCTCCACACACTCTTGGGACAGAGCAATACAAACCAGAGGGAGGCTCCACCCCACTGTCTCTGGGCTAAGGCCCGCTTCTCCTCTCGTGACAGCTCCTCCTCACGTGACAGGCTGGCAGACCATGTCCACAGGGCGGTGCGTGGCTCTCAGGCTTCTCCCCATTTTCAACAGAAGGCTTTGCTTGGTTTGAATGAGGCCTGGTGTTTAGAGCAGATCCAAACCTGGTCTGTGCCCTGCAGCTGGCGTGGGGGACCTGCCCTTGCTGCGGGGAAGGGGAGAGGCAGCCATTTTGCCCAAATGTCTACTTTCTGCTCGGCAAGAGGGATACAAATGCCAGTGATGTGTCCACAGAAGGCTAACTGGCAGTCAGTCACCATGACTCACCAGTGTGTCCTCGGGGAGCCCAGTTAGGGACTTCAGGTGGAGCTGGATGGCCAGTCTGGGTTCGGTGAGCGCAGTCTGTGTCCAGCAGAGGGCACCCTCTGGCTGCACTGCCTGCTGGCTCGGCCCTGGGCAGCACGGTCTGGTGGGTCTGTCTGGAACCGCCCCGTCCCTTTGAGAGGCAGGCGGTGCTGCGGGAGAGCTTCCCTGAGGCCCGGCTGCTGCGGGTCCGCAGAGAGGCCTGGTGGGACGCAGAGGCCTGCTGGCCCGAGACCCTTTGCTCCAACTTCCTGCCTCTTGTCTTTCAGATTCAACATGTTCAACAGAAGCCATCCCCAACCCAGCTTAAATTATAAACATAGAAATAACTCTGTTCCAATCTGCGTGGTGCTTCTTTAGTAAATACTGTACAGATTTTACCATGGAGGACTTTTTTTTTAGTTTTTACCTTTTCTTAATTACCCTTATTCCAAATGGACGAACACTTTCTACAACTGCTGAGCATTGTAAAATACGTGTATATAAATCACATTAAAGTGACGCCCTGGACTAAAACATCTCAATGCTGCTTAATCACAGACTCAGGTTGATCTCTCGTATTCCACGTAACGTTCCTCCAAGTCAGACCTCCGCACGAGGCCAGCCGGGACCTGGGATCGTCAAGTACACACAGCTGACAGCGCGTATTTAATTTAAGGCTAGTGACCGCTCACGGCTCTCCGCTGACCGAGAGCAGTGTTCTCTGTAATGTCTGAGACTAGAAACGAACGTGCTTCATGTTTCCGTTTATTCAGGATTGGAAGGCGTATTTACAGACAAGTTCTGTTTTTGAACTTTGTGGAACTATTCCAATCAACTACCAGTTATGATGAGTATTTACATTATGAATGTATAATCCAGACATTATTTGTAAAGCCTACAGTACGTTTTTTATTACATAACACTTTTTATACAGTTTCTCTTGTCTTGACTATAATATTGGAGTCTGAGTTATCAGCTTGGTCCCTGAAAAGTTTCTAGTTACAGACAAAATCATACTGTGATTTTATTTTTAATATGGATATGCTATCAAACTGTGATACACTTATAATTCACTGGTCCTGCATCAGGAGACGGAGTGGGGACAACTGTATTTAATACAGTTCGTATCTGAATAATCTGTATGGTTTATACAGTTTGTGTTGTTCAGAGATGTCTAAAGTTTGATCTTTGTTTTTTTAAAGATTGAAAAGCACTTGCCCCACTGTAAATATACAGCATGTAAAATTTATATAGTATATAAATGGCAGCAAATTAAACACTTGGTGGCTTCTTTTTTACTGCTGTTTGCCCCGTTTGCTTACAGGTACGTGAATGACTTATTCCTGTTGCCTTCACTTTGTTAAAACTGCCAAAGCTCGGGGGGGGGGGGGGGGGGCACAGATGGGGGGAGGGATGGGGAGGGAGCTGGCTCCAGCAATCTGCTTTAAAGAACCAGTTCGGAGGCAGGATCGTTGTAACAATGATTTCCTTTTATTCGGTGAACATAGTATTTGGCAGCGACACACCCTCCGGTTTTACTATTTACAACAAAATACTGATGTAGGCTATTTCTTCATGCAAACTGTGGGAGTATATACATTGAATAAACACTCCAGGAATCAACATATATGTACATTATTCACATATTAACGATATGTACTGTAAATAGAATGTCTAAGAAAACATCAGTGTGGCCTCTGACCTACGGTAATTTCGCAAAGCGTGTCTATGTGGGTCTGCACCTTTACCTGGAAGCAGCTTCGGTTTGGACGCAGTTTGGTACCACATCAAACTGCTCAAACTGCCTGTGACCCTGAGGACGCCTGCTTGTCTGGGCTCCAACAGAGAAAGGAGGCCTCCCCCGCCCCCCGCCCCCCAGGCGGTGGGCGCTGCGTCTGCCCAGCGCCCTCCCCGCTGCCCTGGGTCTCGGGGAGCGTGTCTTTGGCCAAAGCGGGTAATAACTCAGCACTGAGCACACTGGCGCAGTGGGTGACGGCTACGGGCCTGCCAGGCTAATACTGTCACAGCACGACCTGCAGCTGGGGGCTTCCCGCAGCGTGAGGCAAGCACAGCTCTAGCACCATGGCTTTCTGCGCCGAGGCCTGCACAGGCGGCCAGAGACGCGTCCCACCGGGGTTTCCCACGCCCGACAGCCCTGTCTCTCAGGGTCCTACCTGGTCCCAGGACAACGTCCACGCCTGGTACCGATGCGGCGGGCCGTCCTGGGCAGGGGCCAGCCGCGGGGCGGCGCTGTCGCTCCGTGTTCAGAGGCCAGAGTTGCACACGCAGCAGCCGGGCGTTTTGAGGATGAAGACGTGCCTTTCTCCAAAACTAAAGCTTCGAGTTTGAGGAATGAGCACAATGCAAAGCCGAAGAGCTTGGAACAAGCCAGAAAGCCCGTCTGATGTCGGGGGGCCGTGGGCTCAGCCCTTTCAGTCGTGTGACTTAGAGCTACGTCAAGGTCAGCAGCTTGAGGCTCGGCCCACGGCCACCCAGCCTCAGGCCATGCTCAGGAGGCTCCTCTACGTCGTGCGGAGGCCGGTCTGACTGAGCCTCGGACCAGGCTCTCCCAAGAGGAAGGACGGACCGGGAGAGGAGCGATGGGCTAAAGCCCCCGGAGAAGCAAGCATGTGTCCCCAAGGACCAGCACGGTGCTGGCCCGCCCCTGTGCACCAGGGTCTGGGCTGGGACGTGCTGGGGCCCAGCCATCGCATCCTGACGTGACCGGGCCACCCGGTCCTGGGTTCGAGAGGTCCACGCAGCGAACACTGGGCCACACGGATGACAGGAGCCCTTGGTGCCACGTTGCCCCACTGCGCGCTCCACGTGACGGACAGGCCAGCTCCGACACGTGCAGTGACGTGTCCCCAGTCCCTCTCACACCGTCGCTTTCTACTGAGCAGCCTGGTCCACCGGCAGGTCAGTGACACCAGCTCCTTTCTGCACCGAGGATCTGAGCGAAGACTGGGCACAGCTGAACCAGCCACGCGTTCCGTGGAACCAGGTGGAACTGCTGCGTGAGGGGTCCACGTGGCAGCTCCGTCTGGTCCCACACAGAGTCTGTGCGGGGCTCAGCAGTGATGGGACAAAAGCCTCCCATGGTAAGTGTTGCTGATGGGCCTTTTGAGAGTCTCTGGGGGCCTCCGAGCCAGGCTGAGGTCCCCCGGGCGTCGGACCCTGTCCCAGGAGGGATGGGGCGCCCAGCGCAGTGCTGCCCCGGCTGCTGCACATATAGCGTCTGCGTCACTCCCATCCGTGCACCGGATATGCTTGTGGCGGGTGTTATGTTTATAGCTGCCGTTCTAAAAATAGTACATTAGTATCTTTCATAATTTCAGGATATAAAAAGGCATATAAAAGCTATAGTCCTATGTATCTGAGAAAAAAATCTGAATAAAAAAGTGGTAGCTTTTCTTTCCTGTTTTGATATAAAACAGAAGCTTCTAGAACAGTGAACACCACGCATGAGCACGTGTGGTGACAGGTAGGAGCGAGGTTCCTTGGCAGACCTCGCGCCCGAGTCCGCGGCTCGGCTCCCGGTGCTGCTGCCACGGGGAACCGCGAGGAGGGGGAGGGCTTGGCGGGGGCGTCGTGTCGCTCCGCAGACGCGGCCCATGAAGCTTCGGGGGCCCGCGGGCTGCCTGCCCGGCCCCTCGGCGGTGCGTCTGGGTTTTCCTTTTACCTGTTCAGGCGGGGAAGCTACTTCTTATTGGCAATCCTCCTCTTCCGCGTGGCCAGCATGTCGTAGAACGGGTCCCTGCTGATGCTCGCCCTGGGGAGACGGACACGGCTGTCAGCGCCCCTCAGCCGCGGGCTCCCAACCAGAGGCCCGAAGCAGACTGTGCACAGGCACACACGGGCGCACACAGGCGCACACACGTGCACACGCTCCCCCACTCCCACTTGGCTGTGTGCTGGAGCCTGTGCTGTCAGCCCCAACGTCTGTGCCTCCAGCTCATCACACAAGGCCTGACTCCAGGGGACAGCGGCGGCCGGGCGTGGCCAGGCCCCTGCTCCGTGGTGTCGGAGGCCCCGGTCTCAGGAGAGGACCATTTAGGCCACTTGCCTGTGTTCTCCTCCTGGCTTTACATTCCCACTCTTACGAGAGTGCTCATCTCACCCCAGGCTCCCCCATCGCCCCAATAAAAGCAGCCCCCAGGCCTGGGACGCTATCCCGCCCACTGCCCGGCCGGCTCGCAGGGTGGCCCCCTAAGCGGTCACTCCAGGTCCTGTAGGCGATGGATCTGCACCTTTTATAATATACGCTTTCTGATGGCTCCCGAGGGCGCACTGCGATCCTAAGAATCGAGGCTTTTAGCAACGACCTCGCTGAGAGCCCGAGCCGGCCGGCCTCACCTGATGGACTTGATCCACTCCTCCTTCTCCTCGGGGCTGGGCGCTGAGATGCGGTACACCACGTGGTTGCCCTCCACCACGCGGCCGTCCGCCTCCGTCTTGCAGGCTTTGATGAGCTGCCCCTTGTGGCTGGGGTTATAGAGCTCGAAGCAGTGCTGGGGGGACACGGGGGCGTCAGCGAGGGCAGGAGAGTGGGCGAGGGCAGAGCCGGCGGGAGGGGGCGCTTACGGGCTTCCGGGGGTCCTCCACCTCCCGGATGCTGAGGTTCTCCAGCGGGATGATGCCCCGCGGCTCCTTGTCCTGCGGGAGAGCGAGCCCGCGGTCAGCCTCCGCACGGCTGCCGGGGCCTGCCGGGGGGGCCGGGCCCCGCCGCTTACCGTCGTGTACTCGAAGTAGTAGAGGCAGTTGTCCGTGAGGATGAACCACCGCCGCTTCCAGGTCTTCACACGGCCGCCTGCAGGGAGGGCGGTGAGCCGGGCGGGAGGACTGGCCCGGCCGCCAGAGGCCCGGGAGCCCCCGGTGTGACAGGTCCTTCCTCTGAGCGCACGGCCGTCGTCCGACACTCGGCCGGATCCTGCCCACCGGACACACGGGCGCGGCCCGGGCTCTGCTGGTCCGCGTCACCCCACCCACCGGGCCTGCCTCCGCCCCAGCCCGGAGGCACCCACACAACTCCACTGCCATTGAAAGGGCTTAACTCCCCACAGGAAAGACACGTCCGCCCACCCGCCCAGGGCTCAACTCCCGGCAGGCTCTGGTCACATGACCGAGCTCTGCGCGGCCCTGGGACCCATCAACATCAATTACTCCTCGGCCGGGAGCTATTAGATTGGATTAATCTCTTAACAAGATCTGGGACACGCATGTAAACACACAGCTCAGCTGTGCCCAGGCCTTTCTCTGTGGAAGAGAAATCCTTTTTGACCCTTACATGTCCAGCAGAGGCAAACGGACTTCAGGTTCCAGCCCTGCTCCGGACGGAGCTTACAAACCAAGAGAGCGCGCAGGGCGGGCCTGACTGCGACCCTCACACACAGGGAGGGGCTCTCCTGCCCGTCACTCCCGAGGGGACACGGCCCTCGGGAGCTGGCCCTTCTCCACAGAACAAGCCAGCCACCGGCCGGTCACAGGCGCCACCCGGCATGGAGGCCTGGGTCCCGGGGAACATGGGGGGCACTGGCCCACCCGCTGGTCATCCTGGGCTGAGGCACGGGGGATCCCACTCGGAGGTTTGCAGAGTCCAGGGGGAGGCGGCTTCGGGGGTGGGGGGAGCCCAATGCCGGGATCCAGTGTCAGGGGGCAGACCTCGGGGACCCCGCACGGATGGACATCTGTCCTGAGGCCAGGCCTGGGGAGGCAGGTCCGGCTGGGTCTCCCTGCTCCCTGACAGGCTGCCCCCCTGCCCCTCCCCGGCCCTGCCCCAGGGTCTGACCACGTGCCTCCCCGAGATTCTGCTGCTCCTCCAGGGACCTCAGGCCACCCCAGCTCCACACTGGGCCCCGGGCCTTCGCTCAGCGCTCCTCGGCCCCGAGCCACTGGCCCCCCGCCCACCCGCTCTGGCCCCCCGCCCCCAGCCGCCACGCACCCAGCTTCAGCAGCCAGCCCTCGCGGTCCGGGTTGAAGAACGTGTGCGTCAGGTCGTTGCCGTCGTCCTCCGGGATCTTGAACGGCTCGTTCTTGATGCTCTCATACAAGTTCTGGAGGACAGTGCGGCCGGCTCAGCGGAGCCGTGCCCCAGCCGGCCGGCCCGGGGAGGGGCAGCAGCCAGGCCCGGGGAGGGGCAGTGGCCAGGCCCGGGGGGGGGGGCAGCGGCCAGGCCAGGGGAGGGACAGCGGCCAGGCCAGGGGAGGGACAGCGGCCAGGCCAGGGGAGGGCAGCGGCCAGGCCAGGGGAGGGGCAGCGGCCAGGCCCGGGGAGGGCAGCGGCCAGGCCCGGGGAGGGCAGCGGCCAGGCCCGGGGAGGGGCAGCGGCCAGGCCAGGGGAGGGCAGCGGCCAGGCCAGGGGAGGGCAGCGGCCAGGCCCGGGGAGGGGCAGCGGCCAGGCCAGGGGAGGGGCAGCGGCCAGGCCCGGGGAGGGACAGCGGCCAGGCCCGGGGAGGACAGCGGCCAGGCCAGGGGAGGGACAGCGGCCAGGCCAGGGAGGGGCAGCGGCCAGGCCAGGGGAGGGGCAGCGGCCAGGCCAGGGAGGGGCAGCGGCCAGGCCAGGGAGGGGCAGCGGCCAGGCCCGGGGAGGGCAGCGGCCAGGTCAGGGGAGGGGCAGCAGCCAGGCCAGGGGGGGGCAGCGGCCAGGTCAGGGGGGGGCAGCGGCCAGGCCAGGCCCGGGGAGGGCAGCGGCCAGGCCAGGGGAGGGGCAGCAGCCAGGCCAGGGGAGGGCAGCGGCCAGGTCAGGGGAGGGGCAGCGGCCAGGTCAGGGGCGGGCAGCGGCCAGGCCAGGGAGGGGCAGTGAGGGACGCGCTAGAGATGCTTTCTGATCAGGGACCGGTGCTGCTCACGCTCACGGGAGACGGGCCCCCGAGGCACGAGGCCGCAGGGCGGGGTGGGGTGGGTGCAGAGTGTGGAGGGGGCGGAGGCAGAGCCAGCTGCTCACCCGCAGCAGCTCCTCCGGCAGGTCCCCGCCCTCGTTGATGCCGCGGTTCATGGTGACGAAGCGCTCGGCCGTGGGCTTGTCCCGCACGTTGTGGTTGTGCAGGCTGGTGTTGAGCATGATGATGGCGAAGGACAGCACGTAGCACGTGTCTGCAAGGTCAGAGGGCAGGTCGGAGGGCGCCAGCAGCCGGAGCGGCCGGGGTGGCCCGGAGGGCTGTCTGTGCCCACGCAGCCCACGCACCCGGCCGCCCGCACTGACCGGTGGACTGGAACACCCCGGGGTTGCACAGGCAATAGCGGGACGCGAACGCCTCCATCATGCGGTCGATCTTCTGGGCCTCGCCGGGGAGCCGGAAGCTCCACAGGAACTGCCTGGGGAGGAGGCCAGAGGGCGTCAGGGTCCAGGCCGAGGCCCTGCAGGTGCCGTGTGGGGGGCGGGCAGCGCCCAATCCAGGCCTCAGACCCACAGCACACCCGCTGGGCAGTGCTCCTCCCCGGCCGGGACAGGGCGGGGCAGGGAGGACAGCAGAGCTGGGGACCACCGGCCTCACCACCACTGACACCTGCCCCGCCAGGACCCGGAGGCTCTGGCCAGAGGCAGAGCAGCCACGGGACACGGAGTCCGGCCCCTGTGCTTGTGCCCCTGCTGCTCCCTCCCGGGCCGTTTTCCCAACAGAAAACGCGGGATCGGCTGCAGCATCTGCCGGCCCCTCTGGGCACCACGCCTCAGCCGCTCAGGCCATGGAGACCGTGGAAGCCGGGCGATGGGAGCACTGCCCGCCCTCCCCCTGCTCCTCCCCCTCCCCCTCCCCGCGGCCGCGTGCTCCCAGCACAGGGTGGCCTGGACCAGGACCAGGGGGCTGAGTGACCTGGGCCTCTGGGAGTGACGGGGACTCCCAGCCACGCCTGCCCCTGTGGGGCGGGGGGTGGGGGTGGGGGGCCGCTGACCACATGCTCACCTTAAGGCCTGGACGAGGTTGAGGTCGGCAAACTCGTGGAGCTCGACAAACGCCTGGAGCACTTTGATGTTGAACTCGTCCCTGGAGAGAGAGGACGGTGCTGAGCCCTCCCCAGGGCTGTCCCTTTAGGACAAGCTTGTGTCACGTCCTGTGGCTGAGTTAGGGCTCCAGTGTGGAGGCTCGGAGCAGAGCCTCTGGCTGCGGCGCTGCCACGGGGAGGGTGTGAGCTGGCGGGAGGCACGGCCCCCACGGCGTCCGTCAGGGCTGAAAGCTCGGGGCGGGGGTGGGGGCGGGGAGCACCCCGAGGTGCAGCCCCGACTCACCGCTCCCCCAGGTAGTCCCCGATGACGGTCTTGTTGAGGCCCTCGCCCTTGTACAGGAACTGCGCCACGTCCTCGGGGGCGCTCTGCAGCAGCCCGTTCTCCACCAGGAACTGGATGCCCTGGGGGCGGAGGGCGGTGACGGGGGCACAGCCAGTGACTCGGCCCGCGGGCTCAGGGGGTGCAGTCCCCGTCCCGGTTGGGCCTGGAGCTGCCAGGACCGGCCTCTGAGCTGGGTGCTCCTCCTCGGGGTGCGGCCCAGGGGCCACGGCCTGGCTGTGTCCCCCGTTCACGCAGCCTCTCCCCGGACTCGCACTCCACCCCGAGGCTGTCCTTCCCACGGGGGCGCCACTCGGGTCAGCCCGTTGCCCGCGGCCGGACACGGACGCGCTCTCACCTTCTTGGGGTCCATGTTGAACTTCTTCCGCCCCATGGCGATGTGCTTGTTCCTCTGGGACGTTTTGCTGCGCGTGAAGACGGGACTGTGAGCGGACGGACCCAGCGCTGCGGCTCCCAGGCCCCCGGGGATGGCGTCCCTCACACGGAGGCCCAGCCCTCCCGCCCAGCCCGCTCACCTCTCCTCCACCGACGTCAGGTTGTCAATCTCGGTCATGACCTCGGCGATCTCGTACTTCAGTCTCTGCAAGACAGGCAGGAGGGAGGTGGGTCCTGCCTTCCTCTCCGGGCCTCCGGGGTGCTGGCCCCGGGCACCCCCGGGGACCGGCCTGGACAGACCTCCTGACACACAGCGCCCCCACCAGGGGAGAGCGGCGCTCCGCCCGGCCCGCCTCTCCTCGCTGGGCGGGCTCTGCAGTTTGTGGGTGAAATCAAGAAGGGACACTGGGGCCTGGCTGGTGTAGCTCAGTGGTTGAACATCGACCCACAAACCAGGAGGTCCCGGTTCGATTCCGGTCAAGGGCACACGCCTGGGTTGTGGGCTCGGTCCCAGTGGGGAGTGTGCAGGAGGCAGCTGATCATTGACGGTTCTCTCTCCCTCTCCCTCTCCCTCTCCCTTCCTCTCTGACATCAATAAAAAAGAAGGACCGCTGGGGAGGACATGGTGAAGCTCACAGGCATTCAGAACGGGGTCCGTGCCCGGCCGCCCCGCCTGAGGCTGGTTCCCGTCACCTTCCTTTGCTGCTGAGATGCAGCGCCATGGACAGAGCCTGCCCTGCCCCCGGACACCCGAGGACACTCTGTCCCTCCTGCGGCTCCACTTACTGACCGAGAGGCCTTGTCACCCCCTAACCCCTGCAGCCGCAGCCCCTCAGCTCAAACCCGGGGCCCGAGCTCCACAGGACTCCCAGGCACCGCGTGACAACGCCATTCCCTTCCCCGAAGCTCCTTACTCCGCGCCAGCACCTCTGCCGGGACCGTGTGTACGAGAACGCAGTGCCAGCTCGGCAGCAAAAACCGAGGCGCTCCCCCTCCAGCACAGACACCTTCCCGAGGCTCCCTGTCTACCGGGTGCCGGCCCTCAGGCCAAACACGCGGCTCCCGGGAGGCAGGGTCTGGGCCGGCCCGGGCGCCCGGGCCTCGTCTGCTTTGTCCGGCAGCACAGAGGCTCCCTGACTCCCTGGGCGGCCCGAGGGCACAGGAGCGGCTTCTGGTTACTTTTTACAATGGACACCCGGCTGCTCCTGCGGGCCGCCCGCCCCGCCCCGCCCCGCCCCGCCCCTCCTGCCCCAGGACTCGGGGAGGGACACTGCCCGCCCGCCTGCTTCCTCCTCCGGCCCTGTGCTCGGCTGACCCCGGAGCGTGGCTCCCTCACGAGGTGCCTCGGCCCCAGTCGGAGGGGCTGTGCCCCCCAAAGGTCTCCCGCACACACAGAGAGCATTGTGTCTGCAGGGGCTGTGGCTTTTAAACAGACTTTTTGTTGTTGGTGGTCCTCACCTTAGGATGTTTTTCCATTGATTTTTAGAGAGAGTGGAAGAGAGAGACAGAGAGAGAGAGCCACATGGGAATCGAACCTGGGACCCTTCAGTCTACGGGCCAAAGGTCTGTTCCCTGAGCCAAACCAGCGAGTGCTGGCAAAGCCTTTGGGGACCTGGCATCGGGGTCACTTCCTGCTGCTGGAGGGGTGGGTGGGTGAGCGGGATCTGCCCCCCCCCCCCCCCGGGTCTCTGTGGCCAGTGGCGGACACACGGCTCAGCGCGCAGTGCTCCTGAGCTGCAGGGTTTCCGCAGAGCAGCCCTAGGGTGTCTACCTCGATGTCATCGATGAGCTCCTTCTTCCTGCGGCGGATGTCTAGCAGCTCCTCCCGCTCCTCTGAGGACAGGTCCTCGGGCACTGGAAGGAGAGGCATAGAGAACGTGAGAGGCCGGCTGGAGCGCCCTGTCCCCCAGAGCCCCGACCCCCGGGGAGGGCAGCCCGGCGCCCGTAACAGGACCCGCAGCGGGGAAGGCCGGCCTCCGCCGGGACAGGGCGGGCAAGAGGGAGCCGGAGGCGGCTGCGGCCTCCCCGCACCCACACCAGCCCCGGGCGGGGGCGCTCTGTTACAGCGGGCGGGCGGGGATGCGGGAGGACAGACACCGGACTCTCGGCGGCCGTCCTTCCCGAGGCCAGGCGCCTCGGAGGACGGCCCCGGGGCAGCCACGAGGGTCACAGCCTCTGGCGAATGAGTGCCTCTGTGGTGTTTGCCATTTCTGCCTCGGCCACATGCGCTCACTGTGGAGGGCTCTGTCCATTGTGGACACCAGACCGGCTCCGGACCTCCTCTGGCCAGGACAGGGGGCCCTTTGGGAACACTGAGCTGCTCTGGGGGAGCCCAGCCAGCGGCCCGGAGCGTGACCTCTACTGGGGACAGGAACCCAGACACCCCAGTGTCGCAGCCTCCCAGCTAAGCCGCACACAGGTGAGCGAGGACCCCAGCCGCTGGCTGCCTCATCCAGGCACAGAGACCCCACCAGCGGCCCCCGACCAGCGGCCCCCCGACCAGCGGCCCCCGACCAGCGGGCCCCCCCCACCAGCAGCCCCCGACCAGCGGGCCGACCAGCCAGCACACATCTGAGGACAGTAACCAGTGTGGTTTTAAGCCAATCACGTTGTAATACTTTGTTGCCGGTCAAAACACCGGATATATTTACAAGGAACAGGGGTGGGGAAAGGGCCGAGGATTAAACCTGGACACAGAGAAGCAAAAAGACGACAGTGGCAGCAGCGTGTTTGAAAGTAAGAAGAGCTAACCACTGCAGGAGGAGGGCAGACACCAGGCAAACCTATAGGCGAAAGCTGCCCCTTAGAGTAACGCAGGCAAGCCAGGCTGAGATAGTCACTAGAGATCATCACATAATGAACAGTGTGAACTTATACGGCCTCAAAATGTACAAAGCAGAAACTGACAGATGTACTTCTAAGATGCAATCCTTCCATCAGAGGCAAAGGGGGGCAGACACAGGTTTGACTGACGTGATTAACAAGCTTGAACTGATGGCATGGCATGCTTCACCGGCTTTACGACGTCCACTGAAGAATCTCTGAAAGCAATGACACACGGAGGCCACTGCCTTCGCACCGCAAACACACATGTCACCGCCTGCAAACACGTGTCACTGCCTGCAAACATGCGTGTCACCGCCTGCAAACACACGTGTCACCACCTGCAAACACGGGCCCGCGCTCCTTGCGGCTTCTGTGCAAAACACTCGGGAGCCAGCACCTGCCGCAGCCACGGCCTGGCTGGTGCAGCCGGAGCGCCGGCCGCTTGGGGCCCAGAGGCCTCGGCGTGAGACTCTGCAGACTCTGGAAAGCTCCAGAAGCAATCAAGGCAGCTTCCTCTGAAGGAAGCGTGTCCGGGGCCTCCGGTGGCCCGAGGACGACACCCTCAGGAACACCGCCCTCCGGAGGGCGGCCTGGCTGTGCGTCACGTGTGCTTTCACACGGACACAGAGGCACGCTCCCACAGAACCGCGTGCAGGGTCGGTGTCAGCGGCCATTCTCAGGGAGAGGACGCGAGGTCTGGCTCCACGGCAGCTTTTCCTCCTGTGGAGCACGCCCTGGCGCTGCGTCTGGGGAGGACGGAGGGGGCCCCTCGGGTCAGCAGGCCCCCAGCCGAGCGGCAGACACCAGGGCGTGGGGAGCAGCCGGCACCCCGCCCTGACCGCGCTCAGGCGGGTGCTGGAGGCGGGCGCCCTGCTGGACGGCAGAGAGGGGTTCTCTGTGCTCATGGAGTCCACTCATCCCCGCGTCACTGGGGGACGCTGGTCCCCTGCACACGGCCCGAGCCCACCGCCCAGCAGGCTCTCCGCCGCCACCCCTGCCATCCCCTGCCCCCTCCTCTCCCGCCCCTCCTCTCCCTGGCTAGCACCACTCGGTCTGGGTGGGTTTTATGGGTGCAGACGGGTATGTGTTTGTGTAACCCCTTCACCTCTGTCTCACCGGCTCCCCAGCTGTCAGTCCTTCTGTGTATCTGCTGCTCTCTGTTCTGTCTGTTGTTTTGTCCATTAGACTCCACGTGTGACACGCGGTCCTTGTGGTTCTGAGCGCTCAGTCCCTGAGGACGCTGACAGCCGGCTCACGGGAGGTGGGCTCTGCCCACGGGGGGGGGGGTGCGTGCGAGACTGCAGGTGGGGGTGCGGCAGCGGGGGCCCCATTCCTATGGCTCCAGAGGCCCGGGCCCCCCACAGGCGCTCCCGCAGGGAGCTCCGCCTCCAGCTGCTCCAGGGCTGTGGCCGCTCGTTCTCGGCACCACAGTCCCTTCCACTCCAAACACTGGCTGAGAACTTTCTCTTGTTAAATATATTTTTGTTGATTTTTTGAGAGAGTGAGGAAAGGAGAGGGAGAGAGAGAGAAACATAGAGAGAGAAACATCAACCAGCTGCCTCCTGCACGGCCTGGGCCCTGACGGAGAATCAAACCGTCACCTCCTGGTTCACAGGTGTGTGCTCAACCACCGAGCCACCCTGGCCGGCCCAAGAGAATGTTTTCAAAAGCAGCTCCACCAACACCCTGGCAGGCCTGCTCATAACCGTCAGTGAGCCAGTTCATAACTGAACATGGATGAGCTGAGCCCTCACTGGCGGTGTTCACCGACAGCAACGTCTCCCGTCTGAAGTGAGCGGAGTGAAGAGGGTCTTCCCCTCCCGGCCCCTGCATGGAGGGCAGGAGCCACACAGACCCATTCCCAGGAGATGCACGGCAGAGAGCGTGACCACAGCCGGCCACGCCACCAAGACCCACGACAGACGCAACGCAGTGTCTCCATGTCACACACACGCTGTCACACACCCCGCCTGCTCCTCACCCTTCCCCTCACTGAAGAGGCCGAGCTTGTGCCGGTGCAGAGAGAGCAAACGAGAAGCAGAAGGAAAGCGAAGCGGCTCCAGTCCCCCAGAGACAGCCAGTCCCACTCCAGGCCGATCCTCCCGAGCAGAGCCACGTGCGCAGACACAGAGGAAGAGTGGAGGTGAGGGTTGTTTTAAAGCTGATTCCGAGAGGAAGGGAGGGAGAGAGAAGCTCCAATGATGAGAGGATCGCTGACAGCTGCCTCCCGCACGCCCCCCGCCGGGGACCGAGCCTGCAACCCGGGGGTGTGTCCTGACGGTCCGCAGGCCGAGGCCGTCCGGAGCCTGAGGATGGCCCTGAGGATGGAGACTGGTGCAAGCCGCGGGGGCCAGGGGGTACCTGGGGCCTTTCTCAGGGGCATTCACTTCCTTGTAATGATCACCTCGCTGATCGCTTCTCTTGACCACTCCACCCAGCCCTTTACAAACCTCCGCTGCCCTTTCCTACAACAGCTCTGCAGACACGGCCATCGATAAGACAAAACAAGACTCACACGTCATAGGAAAACCAAGACTCTTGGCCATTTAACCTCAATCCTTCTTAGTTTATTTTAAACCCAAACGTACTCCCGAAGAGAAGAGAGAGCACATTTAAAGCACAAATTAATCTAAATCGAAAGATCTACGGGGGGAGGACGAGCTTTCATACGGCCGCTGGAGGTCAGGCCGCCCACCCCCACACACACACCAGTGCACAAGCCAAGGGAGCATTCTCCGCTTGGCCGCACTCAACTCCCAGCCGGGCCTGGCTCTCTCCTCCTCCTCCCTCAACCACACCCTCTCACCTCCCGCCGCTCTCTTCCCATCATCCACAAATATAACCGCACTCAGCTCCCCTGGGAACTAGCGTTTCTGCCCCCTTCCCTCCCGGATAAACTGCCACAGAGACCAGGATCTAACACCTGCCCCAGCCCGAGCCTGGAAGCAGACGGAGGCGGACGGAGCTCCGCAGCTCTGGGACAGAACGGGGGCCAGCGAGGAGAGAGGCAGGAAGCTCCACAGAACAGGACGCAGAGCCTGGATGAGGAACCGCCTGCAAACACTTCAGAGCAGCCCAGCGCTGTGGCTCAGGGGCTGAGCATCAGGAGGTCACCGGTGTGATTCCTAGTCAGAGCCCATATGTATTCTCTTCAAACCAACGGTGCGGACGACGGGTGCCCACAAGTAAAACGGCGAAGCTGAACTCCCACCGCATACTCCAGACAAACGTTAAGGACACATGGACCGATGAGCTAGATGGAACGGCTAAACCCACACAATCTTAGAAGATATTGGGGTACGTCTTCATGACTCTGGGTTTGGTGATGCCTCCACTGCTGCCCGCTGCCAGCGCATGTCATAGCGAGCGGTCCAAGGGGACAATCTGCACCTCAGGCTCTTATTATATAGGACAGGAGGTCCAGAAAGGTGAAGCTGTAGTGACAAAAAGACCAGTGGTGGCTGGGTGGGTCTCGCCGGTGATGAGGCTGGTCTAACACTGGCTGGGCGGTGGCTGCCGACTCTGTAAGTCCACTGAGAGTCACCGAATTGCGCAGTTTAAGTGGGAGAACTGTATGTGCACAAACTGTGTCTGGAGCAAGCGGTGAGGAAGCCTCCTTCTGTTTCGGAATGCTGCACGAGGGCCTCGGCTCCCACCCTGCAGGGTGGCCTGTTTTTCCATTCCACTTTCTGTGTTTTCCAGCAGAAGTGGAAAAACCAGCCCAGACGGTGTGGCTCAGTGGTTGAGCACTCACCTTCAAACCAGGAGGTCACCTTTTGATTCCCGGTCGGGGCACATGCTCAGGCTGTGGGCTCCATCCCCAGTAGGGGGCGTGCAGGAGGCAGCCAATTAATGATTCTCATTATTTTTAAAAATTTGTCTAAAGTTTTATATATGTCTCCTTTTTCCCCCACCTCCCATTATTGATGTTTCTCTCTCTCTCTCTCCTTTTCTCTCTTAAATCAATAAACAAATATTCTTTTTAAAAAGCATGAAATAAATATTTCCCAAACAGGGCTTCTCTTACT